TGGAGCATGTGGTCCTCGAGGTCCGGCACGATCAAGTCGAGGTAGCCCGGCGAAGCGGCGGACGGCGGTGGCGACGGCGATGGGGCCTTGGCTGTCCCAACTGGCCTGTCCACCATGAGCTCGACGTCCTGGGCTGTCGTGTCCTCGAAAGGCGCCGCTGGTACCGCGGGAGGGCGCTTGCCGATATGAGCCACCACTCCAGGCTTCACCGTTCCAGGCGGCGCGGCGGGTGCGGCGGCCGCAGTTGGCTTAGCTGGTGGCGTCTTCCTCGGCACCGTTGCTTTGCCCGCGGTTGTCCCGCCGGGGCTGACCCCCGCGCCTGCTGAGGTAGCCGTGGATCGTGTAGTAGCCGGCGGAGGCGTTGCCGAAGGGGTCGTCGTCCGTGCCGTCGTAGGAGGAGGCGTAGTGCCGGTAGAAGACGATGCAACCACAAACGCCGGCTGCGTCGGCGTGGCGGGGTCCTTTGGCTGCGCCATCTTTCCCACACCCTTGCTCGCCTGCTTGCTGGTAGGCCCCAAACCAGGTGCTGGCGAAGGCGAAGGCGAGGGCGTAGCCATCGAAGCGGAAGGGTGGTGCTGCTGCAGAATGGCGTCACGTGCCTGAATCCGGGCGCGGTAATGGCCGTCAAGCCCCATCAGCACCCCATGGGACAGACCCAACATCCGCCGCGACGCGTCCACACCAGCTGCCCGCAGGAAAACGCGGATGTCATCGTCGCTTAAGCTTCCCAACCCCTGGAAGACCATAGCCGCGGTGCGGAAGTCCGGCTGCTGCGAGGCGGCAGGCATGTCTCCGGAACTCCCTGCACCTGATCCAGCCATGGCGCAGCGGGGCGAGGCGAAGCTATGCGAAAAGCTGAAGGAATCTTCGAGCGGCCAGCAGCTGCGTGTGCACTTGCTGCTGTCGCTCGTACATGTCACTCCGTGCAACAAGTTGCACTACACAGAAAAAAGATCTAATTGTCTGATTGCATATCAACATCCAATGTCGTATGCATGTCAAGTAGCTACTAGTTTAAACATGCTTACGCTTTCGCCAAGAGTGTGGTGACACATGCGCTAAGCCGCTAAGTGGTTGCTGTCCGCGCACGGACCGCCTGAAACAATGGTTCTCGCATCTTATTTTTATTTGCAGCGCATGGTGCAAATAAATCTGGTCTCCGCATCCTAGTATTTGCACAGGATCCGTGCTGCGTCGGGAGTGTTAAGGCTGTGGCGCAGTGCATATTTTCGTTGGCGTCCTATGTTCTAAGTGCATTATTTACAGACTACAGAGGATTCGCGTCCGGTCGGCTACATGGACCATTTTCGGCACTCGAAAACCTTGAACCGAGCAGTACTCGGGGGGAAACGACTTGGGGTGTTCTTCTGGACGTCGCAAGCTCGGATGGGAAGCATAAGTCTCGTGCTTCCGTATCGCGCCAGCATGGGAGAGCACTTTTGCGATGCTCCTGGAGCCGCAAGCGATTCCACCGTGCTTTCTCGTGTATTTGGGGGAGGGCATTCGGGGAATGCTGCTCGAGGCGCCAAATTTGGGGGGAAAGCATTTAATCATCTGGCGGTCTCCTGGTGTTCGCTTGGTGGTCGCCTGGTATGGTAACAGTCGTTTGGTGGTCTCATGGTGGTCTCTTTGGTGTCTTCGTGTCTCCTGGTGATCTACTGGCGGTCGCTAGGTGGGCTCTTGGTCTCCTGGCGGTCTCCTCGGTGATTTTCCAGCAAGGCTGCGGGAGCTCCGGACCCTCCAAACTCGTGTTTTCGAGTATAGATGCAGTACGCGAAATGCTCCTGCAGCACTGCGGCCTCCAATTACAAATCTAGTGCCCGGGCTGCCTCCCCAAGGCTCCTGGAGCTTTGTGGACCTTCTCAACTCGTCTTTTCGAGTACAGATGTGGTACGCGGAGTGCTTTCCCAGGGCTTCAGGAGCTTTGAAGTCTCCAAACTGATCTCTTCGAATACAGATATACAGTGCGCAGGCTTCGCCGGTGTTTCACTCTGCTTGGAGAAGTACAGATCGCAAGTAGTTGCCATCTGTGTTTTGCCACAGTACCACGAGCATAGCTATCACTCACCGGGCCGGTGGATGCCGGCGCTATCAGGTCAAAGCTAGCTGCCATCTGTGCTTTTCAGGCATTTATGCCGCGTTTTGGAAACATTTCGCCCACGACATTCATACTCATGCACTCCAGGTCTGTTTGCGGGAAGCACTCCACATACTATATTTGCAGTCGAACACACCGGTTCGGAGACCCCAAAGCTCCAAAAACTTTGGGTGGGTGCTGACTGTGCTCCTCCCATTATGAGAAAACGCAGATAAGTGGTGCGCACGCAGATTGCACGCACCAGGGCCTCTGAAGTGCCGAGGGGTTGGGGGATCGGGGGAGGTGGAGCTCTCGAAAAGCGCTTGATCGAAGCAGCTGGCAAAAATTGGGTGCTTTCCTTACATGAAACCCCGAACTTTCAAGCCCCACCGTAGTAAGTTTCAGGGTTTCCCCATAACCACTTTTTCACGAAAACACGTCGCAATCCTGGGTTCAAGCAATATTTCAGACATGCAATCCACAAGGCAAAATACACGCGCGTGACCTACACGGTTGCAGTAGTAAGAAAAGTGTTCATCATCGTACGGGTTGCTGACTTCTTCAAGGCTCTTGTCCATTCTCTCTGCCGGCTCAATTTATTTTCTGCTCAGCGCCAAGAAACAACATGCCATGCCCTTGCCAGGATATGGCAACGTCGACTTTAGATTCACTTAAGCGAAACTTGCAACCTTACTTGCGCAACTCCCTCTGAGCCCATATGGACTCGATAAGGAAGACGGGCACGGACCAGTGATTGCAAACATGTACACTGTATGGCATTGCGCAGTGCTGGATAAACTTTTCTGATTGGCTCGTACATCTGAAGCAGATGTAGAGACACCTGCAGTTATGGGCTTTGGGCTTTGACAATCACCTAATACATTAATCCAGATTTCAGCTATTGATATATTAACATTTAAAATCCATCCATGTACATCATGTACACGTTGTATGTATAGACCCTTGCCTGCTCAGAGAGGTCTTCGGAAGGCAAGCCCAGGGCGTCAGCCTGGCCGTGAGGATTTCTGCATCCAAAGCCAGAGCTTGGCTCTTAGCCTCTCTCGCTTCGGCCATGGTAGCTCTGACTTCCGAGTTCCGAGAGCACAAGTGCACGAGGCAAGCACAGGTGGAGAACCTCCCGGCGCTCACGCAAACGCTTCACCGCCTGGCAGAGCATGCTTCCGGATTTTGGTCAGCCTTAAGGGCATCTCCAGTCTTTCTTCAGCCTCTTTATCCAATCCGCGACCGGGCCAGTACGCCATCAGTCACAGGAGTCTTTAAGACGTCTCTACATGTCTGTTCATTGGGTTTGACTATCACTGGCTCCTGCAGCCTAGGGCAAGGTGATGGCTGAAAGTTACCGCAAAGGGCAAATTAAGCCATATTGCCAGGGTCCACTAGCTCCGACAGCGTCCAGCTGCGCTACCGGGATCCAACGCATTCAGCTAGATGGTGATGAGCTGCCTGTATTGGTTTAGATTTAGATAGCCTTCTGCTTAGCTTGGTTGCTTGGAATCTGGGACCTGAAAACGGTACCGCTGATGACTAACTGGGCCACACACGGCTGCTGGCAGGAGCTTGCTTGGGTGGAGGACAGGCCCATTGTGAGAGGCCCAAAGATCACAGCATCCGCGTCGTCGCAGCGGTCTGACTCCGATGCCGTAAAGCCGGACAAGCCTCGTTATAGTTTGAGAAGCCTTGTCCTCAGAGCTCCCCGCTCTCCACTTCAACTTCTGCAACCCCGACTCAGTCTACCAGTAGCAGCTGCGGTCGACAAAAACATGATCCACGTACCATTCTCACAGGGACCTGCTCAATCACAGCAGGCTGCCCACCAGCTTTTTGTAAGCAATGCGTCAAGCATCTCGCCTCAGAAGACTCCTGCGAGCGTGAGTGCACAGCAAAGTCCGTGCACCGAGCCGAGACCCTCTGGCCTTGGCGATTTCTCCAGACGCTTGAAGCGGTTACCAGACCTCCACGATAACTCCGACTAACCTTCACGTACAAGAAACCGCTTCGCCCGGGATGCCACAACTCGCCTAATTGATATCCGAAAATCCAGGCATGAAGTTCGGGAGCATGAGCTCGCGACGCGATCCCAGTGCGATGCTGGCTTCATGGTGCCCACATCTCGAACAAGCGTTGGGGCTAGTGGTCAATTCAATGCATCTAAAGTCCTACATACCGAACGGTGCCAGTCCTTCAGGCGCTTGTTGAAGAGCCGAGAGCCTTTCACGCAGATGCACGGAGTGGTCATGAGCGTCTTCGATGTCATGTGCAACACAACGTTTGAGCTGCCTAGTATCATCTGTCATTCGGGATGCAGTATCCAATTTCCAATTTTTGCAAAAAGCACATCCGGTACTGCTGTCTGGACACTGCGGGCATTTGCGCCAGGGGTGGCCAGCTGATCCAGCGGCTAATTCGCGGGGCAGGCAGTGTGGGTGTGAGGCCGCAAAAGACCACAGGAACATAAGGATCCTTTGTTTGGAGGTACACCGACACCCACAGGGTGAATTTTGCAAGCCTTGATTGCCAGATCCTTATGCCTGTGTGGTTTTTTGGGCCTTGAGGTCCTTGGATTGGTTATACTGTATATACTGAGTTGTGCTTGTCTTGCTAGACTACACCCACCTCTGCCCACCGCGTTATTGACATTGCGCTGTCCAAGATAGCAGGTGAGGGCAAGGGCCAATAAGACGTTAAATTGCGGTGAGGCGTGCAACTGTCTCCAGTGAAAACATGCTCGTCTGCCTGCCTGCATCGCTTGCGATAGTACAACAACTACAGCAACGACGGCCTACTCGATGCATGCAGACAGAGAGACAATTTTGGAGAGCAGCGATCGCATATTGGAAACGCTTCGTTAGTCGCGTCATTGAAAGTGTCGACAGGATGTGAAGACATCCTTGACAGTCACTTCTCAGTCGGAAACTGGGTAGTCATCTTCTGTGGCACCTGAAGTCGCAGATGTACACCGATGCGGCAGTCAAGGCAGTCAATACTGTGTGCAGCTTCTCAGTATACAGGATAGTACAGGATACAACTTGCTGGCACGGCTGGACATGCTGTGCCCACGGACTGAAAGTAGACTGATCTCATACCCTAGCAGCAGATCACGACACGAGCTGTGAACCGTCGCGCTGGTAAAGCAGATCCCGGCTGCATAAAACAAATGAACTACAGTAAGGCCTTGGATCACAGTTCCCGACGCAGCACAGAAGTCGAGACTTCACCAAGGCTCGGATGAGCAGCAGCTCGCGTGTTCGCCGCATGTTAACCACTGCCTGAGGCATGTTGTCATGAAAGTCCACGATGTCATCCAAATTGTGTCTGGGTGCTTAATGCCTTCACGAGTTGCACGACGTCACGGATTTCCATGCATATATTCATTATGATGTCGTGACAACGAGACAGTCGGCCTGCTTCGTGGATTTGGCACTTGAGCTTTTCAACCTTATCCCTGCATCAGCCTTTACTTCGCGCTCTGTAAACTTGCTCCGAGCCGCCAAGGTAGCCGCCACTGCAGCGAGGGATGCAGCCAAAAGGGCCGCAAAAAGCACGGGCGTGGAGACGCCACTTTGCCTGGGCTGAAGGACCCATTGCACAAGACGCGTAGGCGTGGGCCTGCCTTCCCGAAACATCCCGGACAGGCCATTCCATACCAAATCGTTCGTTATAGGGCTACCAGGGCCTTGGACAGCAGGGACAAACACCGTCGATTCATGTCGATTCTCTGATGAGCAGCAGAGACAGACCACCGCAAAACTCTTAGCACTGTCGTGGAAGACATGGTCCCTCATAACGAAAACTCGATGACAGGGTTCGGAACATGGTGCCCGAGCCCCTAAAGCCCCGATGACAGCATCTGCCAGCAAGATCAGCAAGCTAGAACTTGCAGAAAGAGCTATCGGAGATCTGTGCAGGCGGAGGATCAACTGTGCCCTTCTCAGGCTCTTGAGCTCAAAGGCCTGGTCAGGGCATGCGGTGGAGGTCTGAGCATGGTGTCTTGAATTTGCTGGATGAGAGCAGTCAGAACCGAATTTAGCACACTGCGGACTTGATGATGCTGGCAACGCCGCAGTGAGAGCATCTGTCGGCTCTGAGTCCCTGCGACGTGCCGAGATCATACCTCATTCAAACCTTCCACACATTCCTGCAACTGCGAAAAGGCGCACTGAGTCCTACCCTCTTTTACCCTCTGCCCTACCCTCTGCCGAGCCTTCGAGGCATCATCTGTTGAGGCGGATGAAACCACTTCCGCTTTCTTCGCCTTCTTCTTTGCGGCCTTCTTGGCGGCCTCTGCCGCCGCCTTTGCTGCCTTTTCTGCCGCTTTCTCTTGTCTCTCGTACACGGCCTGGAACAGGAACGGACGGTCGAAGCAAAGACTTTCCGCGCAAATCCACCCAGCGGCCCTGCACGCCTTTCCACAAAGCCTCGCGGCTTCATCCTGCAAATCGAGGCCGCGAATTCCTGCCTGGCCGAATCTGTGAGTCTCACCGATGCACCCGACAAACCCAAAGCTCTGAAGCTTGAACCGTAACAAACCCACATCGTGCCCAAACATCCCAAACGCCCAAAGCTTTTCACTACATCCCAGGCCTCGGATTCGCAGCCATAGTTTGCGCCCATCATGGACACCTCGACACTGTCGGGCAAAATGTGCAAGCATCTGCAGGTCGGCGGCTGGCTGCTCTCGATCGAGTGCCAGGGTTGCAAGGTGCACCCCGTAAACTGCATCGGGCATCAACGTGTGCCATGATCTGCAGCTGCGCAACGTAAGCCACCGCGGCACCTAGGCCGTGGAAGCCTCGGTTCTGCTCGGTGTGCTCTCAGCTTCTCTGTCCTAGTGGTCCTAGTTCTAGTTCAGGCCAAGATGCCATGCTCATCCCCCAGGTTGTTTTGCATCTCTTTCCTTGTGCTTGGAAGTGTCGCTTGCATGGGGGGAAGGGGGCAAGGGGCTTGCCAGATTCATGGAGTCGACGCAAGCATAGAGAGATGGCGAAAGCGCAAGGCTGAGTGAATAGACCGGTCTTGAGCCTTTGCTTAGCTCAGGTGCTTGATGGCTTCGCTGAGCTGGCCAACGCAGCCCTCATCTTCCTCGAATGGTGCGATTCGCTCCTCCTGAGCTCACACACGAGCTGCTTCGACCTTAGGCGTGGCCGCGGCCCTTCCGTTCAACCCGTCACCCATTCCGAAGCTCCCGGCACCATGCTACCTACACCCCCAGTGCCAGGTGGTCGGATCCTAAGTTTGTGTCAGTGTGAACATATGACAATTAAGCAGACTCCGCTATGCATTCTTGCTTGCACATGCCTCTCAGCGCTCACTTGCTCAATCGTCTGGACAAGGTCCGGTTCAATTGGTTTCCGTGTGAAGCCCAGGAAGGGGGGGGCATGTCCTGAACGTCCTTCTGGAGCTTCACGGTTGCCTCTCCCGCGGCTTTCACGAGCTTGTCGCAGGATTCGCTCCTCGGCGACGGCAGATGGCACACCGCGGATGAGCTGTCTTGTCGCGATAGAGGCCTAAAGCATGTAAAGTAGGGTGTACGCGCTGCGCTGCACGTGTGTACGACAACGCGTTTCGGCCTGAAACACCCTTGATCAAACACTCAGAGCTTGAAATCCACGACTTTGGCACCAGGTTCGTCTTCACACAGCTCGAAGTGTCTCATGCGAGAGCATGTAGCAGCAAGCTCAGACTTGCAACGCTGGGACTGCCATTGAATCGGGTCTCAGCAGTTTCAGTTTTGCAGAATGGTACACTGAGATTGCCACTTCAGTACGCGACATTGCATTTCAGAAACCCGGACCGAAACAAGGCACATCATCATGTAAATCAAACTGCATGTCGGTCGCCGCCACGCTAGCTCAGGCCCATCCCAAATCCAGAATCCGAAAGCTCACCTGACCTGTCTTCCGGTTGCTTCTGCGGCCCAGTCACAACTTGCCATGGAATGCATCAATCGCCTGCTTCTGGCTCTGGGGCTGCTCAAGCAGGCTCTCAAGGCTTTGCGTTCCGAAAGCTGCGGCCCGGGGCCCCACGAAATGTAGGCTTGGCTGCATCCGTTACATGCTCGGCTTGACTGTGTTTTCGTCTTGTGGGCAGGAGGAGATCCGGGGGGTCCTCGGGAAGTAAGCGAAGTAAGACTTGCAACGCTGAAACCACCAGGTGTGCACAGAGGCTTCACAGTTCAGGCCTTTTGCTCCCAGGACTGCTCATCCTGTCGGAGGCTTCAGGGCCCGGAGGGGAGATCGGGAAAGGGGGCATGCAGTCAGGTGCGGTTACGAGATTCTCACGACTGCATCAAACTCGAGATCAATGCAAAAGTGTAGGCTGGAGTAAGGTGCCGTCAGGGCGATTCCAGCCTCGTCAGCTACTTACCGGCACTTGCTCTGAATATCCACTAACCAGCTGCTCGGCCTGCGCTTCTGGAGCTGTTATCACAAGTGACCATCGCAAGAGTCGAGGTCGGTGCCTTCCTTATGCGTCAGTGTCCCTGAAGCTCCATCTGCCCAGGCCTGGGCAAAGGTCTGGAGCTTGCCCATCATCTTTTTGATGGTGTTCTCCCTGGCTGAGCTGTTTGTAGTCATCGCCTTTCAGTCACGTAAGACTTGGGCCCGAGGACACGTCTCATTTCTGACTGCGGCGGGGTTAGGGGCCACGGGGCCGATTCCGGCCTGCAGCATGTTCTCCTCAAGCTTCTCAGGATCGAGCTGCGCGGTGATCTGGTCAAACGCTCCATAGTCAAACCTGCAACCGCTGGCTCTCGAGAATCGCAAGATCTCGCAAGCCTTCCTCTGAAAATCTCAGAATCCAAGCAGCTTCTGCGACAGCTTCGTGCCGCTGGAGACTTCCTCAGAGCCGCGGAGACAAAGCGCGTTTTCTCTCGGCTCTGTGCCTGGGAGCCCAGTGCCAAGTGCCAGCAAGAGGCGGCCGGGCCGGCCGGGCCTGAACTTGCGGCTGCAACTGCCAGCCCGGAAAAGATGGCTCGTAGCATCGCGCCTGGGCTCAAGAGCGACACGGCTCTAGAACAGAAAGACAGCCTCGGACATCTAGCCGTGCATGCAAAAGCTGATTCTCCTTTTCGAGTACCGGATCTTCCTGCAAAGCTGCTGAAGGACGCACCCGATGGGTCACCGGGTGACCCCTCCGACGCTGTGAACCAAACGGCAGCGACGAGCTGTCTCCGATGCAGTGAGACGTCTCCCTCCTTCAAGGCAGCAAAGAGCGGCTACTACGAGCAGTTCTGCAATCTGCAAAGCTTACTGCCAAGCCCGAAGAAACACTGCCGAACCACAGACCTGGGAAATCAGAGGGGCCCCTTCAAAGAAGCAAGGTCTCCTAAACCCACATCAAGCTAAGGGTCAGCGGCCTCAGCGCCCCGAAGTAGCTTTGCAAGCAGTCTGGGCCAGGGTTTTCCGAGGTATGAAATGGCGCGAATTCAGAGAGACAAAGACATGTCAGCATTCCTTTGCTGATTACTTGACATGCATATAATGCTGCTGCATACATATATATATATATATATATGTATCAGTTCTGACAGTGACAACGTGTCCTCGAGTCTGACGCACGACAAGCTCTGAACTTGCACCTCAAGTACCAGATGTCCTTCTCCAGGCACTCGTCGATCCTGACATCCGAACAGAATGGGGTTACATGCCGGAGTGTAACCAACTTCTGTCTGAGGAACCGCTGCCTCTGGCACATCCCAGATACGGACCGACATGCAGTGCTACAAAGAGACCTTCGACCCTTTCGTCCGCAAGCCAGTTCCCGTCGCTTTACTCCGCAGTTTGTCTTCGATCGCGTTCGTCATCTGTTGCTGAAGAATCCACAGGTTCTGTCCCATCTCAGACTTCGCTCGGCCCTCCCTCCTCCCTTCCGCTCTGTCTATCGCCCTCACTTTCTCTGTTTCTTTCTCCGAGCGTAGAACTGGCCGGCAAGGCGGAGACCGAGCTTCCGTGGGGCTGTGGGGACCAGTGAGAAAATGCAGGTCGACTGCTCTGTGGACCGCGGAGAAGCCCGAAAGCTGAACATGGCTGAACACGGCAGAGGCCACAAGAAAACGCAAAGCCCGGAGAGTCAAAGAGCAGACGACGGCGGAAAGAAACTGAAGTACTTATTGAAGCAACTGGATTCCGTAATGGGTTGCGCCTCCTGATCTCCCAGGTCGAGATCGTGGGCAATCGAGAGACCTGTTGGAGAAGACGCAATCATAGGGACAGCTCAGGCTGCTAATGGCCCACTCTGCACCTTCTTGGCTGCCCGAAGGATATTTGCCACCTTTCAGGCTTTCAAGCTTTGGCAAAAAGAAAGAAAGAAACAAAAAAAGGGGTTTTCCTTGGAGAAAACCAGCTTCGCAGTTACTGACAAAGGAGACGCAAGACGAAGGTCGCTTAGTTCCATTCGGCTTGGTTATGCCTACAGCGGCGGTGTGAGCGTTGCGAGTGCAGCAACTGAGCTTCCTCTCTGGATTTGTCGAAGTGTACGGGCTGATGGCTCCAGAGGAAGTCTGAAGAGGGAGAGAAATGACCGGCGGGCTGCAGGAGCCAAAAAATGCTGTCGCTGAGGCGAACACACGCGGCCGAACGGTGGACCACCGGTTTCGAAGGTCCTACCGCAAGTTCTCTTGCTGTAGCTACAAGTCTGAGAGTGTCGAGAGTGGCCCTCCTCTGCATCCACGTGGATGAAGTACCAGGCCTTGGGGCACGGGCTTTCCAAGAGCCTCGTATCTCAGCGACGCTGAAAACGACCCTGCGATTGCCCCCAAAGGAAGCGGGCACAGACATACCAGCACAAAGACTGCACACACGGCATTGTGGTCTACGTGGTTTGAATGGAACAGTCATGGTCTAGACCTGGCAAGCGTAGCTTCATCTCAACCTCCGACACTTTTCTGCCGCAGTTTCGGATGGCAGCCGTCAAGCTTGAATCGAAACTGCAGACCTCGAACTTCACGGTCTTGACGCAGTTCAAAAGAAGTCTTCTGGGGCTCGCGCGTACGCCTCCTCGAAATAGCTGTCCAGATCCGCCAGCTGAAACTTCTCGAACTGTCGCATGTACCTCGTCGCTCGACAGCAACACATGGACCAACCTAAATCACTTAACGAAGGACATGTAAAGCCTGCAGTGCAAACAACCGTTGTGAAAACACTGAAAAGTCGAGAGGCTTGTATAAGAAACGGACGGAACCTTTCAGTGTTGCCCGTCACACCCTTGTAAAGTGCTCCATGCTTCTCCACCATCACATTCCACGTCACTCAACTAATCGTCTGAGAATTGATAAGCATCGGGTGCGTCGGGCCACACGTGTAAGGACAGAACTGACAGCTTGTTTGCGATGTGGACACTTCCTGAAACAGTGTGGCAACGCTAATTCAATAGTCCGGTTCATGTCTCCGACTTTGGCAACACAACAGCATTATGGTATCGATGTGTGTAGTCAGTCGGGAGGTGGTCTTCGGGTGCTCCCAAACCCCTAGGCTGGCCCTCATGGAGTACTCGAGATATCCTGGAGCAGTCCATCAGTGGTTCCGGAGTTGTCTCAGAGCGGTCTCGGTCTATGTTTCGGGCAACAAGCGACAAAGATGGTCCGTTCGCAAAGAGGGTGAGCCTGTACTGAGCAAAGCACCGGCTAGCAATGTGAGATCGCGCACATACTCGCAATGTCTACCCTCATGCCAGTAGTCAACGCAACATGCCGCATCGATTTGGCCAGAACCTTCGATGTCAAAAGCCATCGACTTTGCGGTGACTTTGCAATCTTTCGCAGCACTGTGAGGCTTCAATAGCGGCTCACTGCAACGGTACTGGCGCTGGCAACACAAAGGGTTGTCAAGCCAGATCACGGAATTGAAGCCCGTGAAACGACAACGCAAATCATGGTCAGGCTATGGACACTGCAAGTATATGCGGAAGCAATGACTTGTTCAGGTGGACACAGGGCAGACGAACACTTGCTCGAAACAAGCCAGGTAGTCTGTCGCAGGCTTGCTTTCTTAGCTCCGGGCTTTCTGCCACTTTCTGGCACAATTGGACGAGGTGAGACCGACAAGCTGTGGCATCCAGAACAGAGAAAGACTGCCGTTTGAAGGTTGTTAAGTTGCTTTATGAACTCAGAAATGGCAACAAAGCGGAGAATGGCTCCAACATCGATGGCAGTGAAACAATACAGGTACCAGCGAAGCTCCAGCAAAGATGCGGATGCAGGAGCTGATAAGCGTTCAAGCCACACCTCTTTGTCAGAGCACCGAGACCTGATCCGTCTTCGCGTGCTCTGTGCCGATGTGACTGTCGTAGGATCGACTCATGCGCCGCTCCTCTCAGCGGGTGCATGCGGGTGCTGGGGTCTCCTATACGTGCACTCCCATACATGCAGCTCAAGCAGCAATTTAGTACGGAAGAAGCGCGTGGCAGGATTCAGGAGAGGGGGCACGAGCTGAAACCACACCACTTTTTTTGTTGAGTTCATGAAGCCTAAGTCTTATGGGTAGATTGGAGGGGCTCGGAACCAAGCGTGATTGGGGAGTGAACTGCCCCAGTAAGGAATACCGTAAAAGGTAGCCAAGCCGCCTCGAGGCTTTCCCGAAAGCTGTTGCGACCGGAATCCACACCGGACCTGGCAGCTCTTTTCACTTCGGAGCGCTGGGTTTCGGGGTCCAAGCCCGTAACTTTGAAACCCCAGACGTGCGATGCCATGCAGCGATTCAAGCTGACCTTCAGCAACCTATCCGCAAGTTCTTGTAGTGGCGGCGGGGTGGAGATCGGGCAAGATGCAATTCCGAAGACATTCCGAGAAAACCAGGCCCTGAAAACACCTTTGCTAAATGGACCTGCTTGCAGTGACCGGCAAGGGAATCCTCGAGTGGAGGCTCGGCGTCCTTGCAACATCGGAGATCTGTGCTGGCTCCGCAGGCAACGCTTTGAGGCGAGAGTTTGCTGCTCGATGACCACAAACGGCAACGCCCATTCCAATTCCAGGGAATATAATATCGGTCACAGCTTGCATGGCAAGACCTATCAATGTGGACTCTTGGCATTTCGTCTGTGTCCCACGCAGACCGATGCGGAAGCACACCACCAGCGCAATTGCTGCGAAATGAAATCCCAACTCCCTGCCCTGCAAACGACCTTCGGTGAAGCACCTGAGCCAGCCTCTATGCAACCCGTCTACGGCACATCTACCTAGAACGAAACCACCGTTGCTTGCGGGGAACCGGACGCAGTAAATGCACACTCTGCCATGTGCTTGGTTACCATGCTGGATGACGCGAGAATGCAAACCTGCAGCCTGCAGCTACAAAGTAAAACTAGCAGGCCGAGTTTAGTGTATCATCTGGACTCCCTTGCGGCTTAGTCTTCCGATAGTGAACTGGACGGAACTGTGGGTGCACACATCAAAGTGGCTCTCAAACCAAGACGGGTGGCGACTCTGCTCCGCCGGAGAACCCAGTGTCGTTTGCCTGCAGAATTGCCACATACCTTGGGTTTCGACTTGCAGGCAAGTGGAAAGCGTTTTCTCAACTGAGCCTCAACAGTCTCAGTTTCCCCGCCTGGCACTTGATTCTGCAGGCCTGAAACCAGCGATTGACGTTGGAGGAGTGTGAAGCCTTCAAGCCATTGGAATCATTGTGACTCGAAACTCGAGTAACTCGAGTATCCCGAATTCGAGTCTTCGAGACACCGCTTGGAGCCGAAGCACGTCTCAGCGCGGCTCTTCATGCGCTGCAGCTCATCCTTGCCTGACAAGTGGGGCGTGCAGGAGTGTTGACGTTCTCTTAGGAGCGCAGAGTGAGTTTTGAACCGAATCGTTGTACGTTAGCGATGGTCGACCTGCCGCGCAGTCCCGAGAGCAGAGACAACCCAACGGGCACTAGTTGCAATCTGCATGCAAACCTGCACGCACAAACATACAGAAAGCGGATGAGCATGCGCCTTGCGGTCTCAGCATGTCTCACAACAACCAAATCTTGTACTCTTAACTCAAGATCCACATAGGTGCTACCACTGTCTGTGGAAACAACCTGCGGACAAGATCTTCTTGGAAACCTGGCTTGAAGCCCAGAGGCTCATCTGGATGTCCGTGATATGCTCGTTGATACTGCTTCGCTCATCTCTGTTCTCGATCTCGCTGATCAAAAGTATACCTCGCTTGCTGCAGGAAGCGCGGCTATCAGTTCCGCTCCTCCGGCACATATGAAGCCGGCTGCACGCTTCGAAGTGACAAGAACAGAGGCGAAGGTCTCCCAACGAAGCAACAGCCTCTGGCGACCGAGGCTCCGAAAATCTGCAGGTGAACCCAGAAAGCACCGCCGAATTTGCGTGCCAAGAGAGCGAACCTGAGCTGCATCAATAACATCACTCTGGAGGTCTCTGCAACTAAGATTTGGACTCTCCGACAAAAACCTGCTGCGCAAAGCCACTGATCCTAGAGGAGTCCGAATAAGAAACAAGAAGAGGCCAGGCGGGGCACTCGTCTGCATTCACTTTGCCGTAGTAGGAGGTTCCAGTGCCTGCGGTGAGCCGGCCGCGGTGTTGCCAATCGGCCCAGAGGCATGGCAGGCATAAGACGTCCTCGCTCTGGACTTCTTGGTTGCGAGTCAGGACGTTCGCCTGGTTTCGTGCGAAGTAATGCATCAGGCCCGTTTCGATGACCAGGACGTGCTTGCAGTCGGTGCCGGGCATGAAGACGTCTTGCTGCTGTGTGCAAACTTCCTCAGAGATGCACGTGTGGCAAAGGTTGGAGTAGAAGTACTGGTGGTCCGGTGCAGAATCGGGCCAAAAGCCAAGGACGTTGACCATCGACATGTACATCTCCTCGTGCAGCTGCATTCTCAGCCGCTCCGGCATCCTGGCCAGAACCGGAACTTCACCTGAGTCGACTGCAGTCCATCGTCTGCCTATCAACCCGCCTGGTGATGGTGACAATTACTGCAGCTGTATGGATACACTGCGAGGCAACATGCTCGAAGCAACATTTCTGCAGAGTGACTCTCCTTCACACGCACTGACGCGAGACCATCCATACAGGCCCACCGAAAGATTCCTGAATCAAATCGGGAAGGGATTGCAGTCGGTTGATGGGTTGACCACAAGACAACAAAGACATGGAGCATGCACTGTATATTCCCTTCTCCTAGGATCAACTCAAATCAGAAACGGCACCAAAAGAAGAAGACCCTAAAGCGATCAAGCCGTGCTCGGGACCAAATCGGGTTGTCCCACGACTAACAATGAGAACGTTTTTCCATCAGCCATGCCGCTGGCCTCCCGAACAGAGTCTAATTAGTCTAATTGCTTGCACTGCTTACATCTGAGTGCTCAAGCTGAAGCTCCGTTGGTTGAAGAAGCGGAACAGCGTCATCTGCGTTTTGTTACTGTCGTCTCTTGCTTTCCGCAGAGAGCTCATTGTAGCCGTGATGGAAGTAATGAAGGACCTGACATACAGGCCACTGCCAGCAGGTGGACCTTTGAATTCGAAAACAGAGCTGCTCGTGTCAGAAAGTCGGTACCTTCTGTCCCCTCTGCAAAGCAGAAATTGAACCAAGCCAGTTGCAAAGCTCACCCACCTGTCAACACCGAATCTCCGAGAACGTGCCGGCCCGACGAGAAGACCCCAATGGCCATGAGAATGACCAGGAGAGCGAACACGCGCTCCATCTTGGTTGAGACGCTAAAGCCAAGAGAAGTCTTTGCGAATGCAACGATTTTGCAACGGGCCCGGAAGTCGACTCACTTTGAGCCTGAGAAGTTCTTGATACTTGAAGTGCTGCAAACTAGCAACTAGCCTCTCACTCTGCCATTCTTAAAATAGCCTGCGCGCATGTAAGGCTTGCTTCGCTTCGAATGCAAAAGCCCGGTCGTCTCTGGTCAAGACGCGTCAGCCCCATATATATATATATATGTATATATATATATTATACAATTGTGCATCTCGAGATGAATACCAAGTCTATGCCGCCTGGCTCTTGCTTCATTTTTCATATACCTCTGGGTCGCAAACAACGACCCCACCTCGAACACGCACACAACAAAGGCTTGCAAGGACCCAGCGCAAAACACTAACCTTTCACGGGCAGATGGCCGCATTGCTCGCGGCGATGTCCTGCGTGGCCGGTGTAAACTGGGTTAGCGCCTCAGCAGTCATGGCCAGGGGCGGTCGAATTCGTGCCGCAACAGCCTTTAGCCTTAAGTTGTCCCGAATTTCCAAGACCTGCTTCCTTTGCCTTGCAGACCGACTCAAGTTTCACATCGACAGCCGAGTCTGTGATGCGGGGAAGACTGGAGGGTGCAACTGTGATAATTTGGACAAGAGGAAACGGTGTAACATCCAATCCACATCAAGTCAGGATTCCCAGTGCATCGATGCAGCATAAGCCTGACGGCACTGGGGGGTCTCTCAAAAGGCACCTATCTGGCTTGCAGATCTTGTAGCAGGCATTGCAAACACCCGAGAAACTAATGCTTCTGCATGCATCGCAATGATAAGTCTGCCTCGCCGAAGGGGGCTGACTCCATTTCTGCTTGCACAATCCAGTTCTTGCCATTCATGTCAAAGGTACCGATGCCTCACTGTTCCACACTTGGGACGATGAAGGTACTTCGGATGACAGCTTCGACCTAGTACTCTCTCGCATTACAGCGCCGTGTGGAGCACAAAGCCAAGCTGCCGTACCAGCAGCAAGCAATAACGTGATTGATCATCAGCATCATGACCAGCCCGACACAAATCTTCACGACCATGAACGCATGAGTCGAGAGAAAGCCTCAGCAGGCTTGTAATCCTGCACCCCTACAAGATCACACAAGTCACAAGATTCGACACGCGGCATGACCGCTCCAAATCCTGCAAGTCAAGAAGGCCACGGAGCCGAACCAATCCCAATGTCTTTTGAAGTCAAAGCCCTACGCTGACGTTCTGAAAACATTCGAAGTCTGGGCGCTGTTTGCTAGGATCATGAGCTCCTGCTGAAGCTTCGCCACGCGCAGAAGGCCTGGAAAAGGTGAGAGATCCAACACAATAAGGCTACTTGAATGTATATTGCGGAGATCGAAAGACAAAATGCAAAAACGTCATGTTAAGTTCCAGTCTTACCGTGCGGTCATTGGGATCATCGGGATCAAGAGACTGAAATAAAGATCAAACCAAATTAACCCTAGATCTTAAGATTGGTTCTTATTGAATTACCAGCAACCGTAGCGAAAAAACGTCAAACGGAACATCTGACCAGCAGTAGCAGTACTCGTCCAAATACTAGTCGTACGACTCCGACGAGTGCCACTCTACGAATAATCGAAAAAGTGGTATTGGCTGCGGGCACAGTACGACAGCAGGATGCAGTTTTATACAAAAAAACACTGTGACCTGGTCCTTGCAGCTGTCCATTGATACACCGCTAACTGGCAGTAGTAGCCGACGCGTCGTCATAGTAGTCGAAGTCGTAGTCGTAGTCGTAGTGGTAGTGGTAGTAGTAGTGGTGGTAGTAGTAGCAGTAGTAGTAGTAGTAGTAGTAGTAGTAGTCGTAGTAGTAGTAGTAGTAGTAGTAGTGGTGGTAGTAGTCGTAGGAGGAGGAGGAGGAGGAGGAGGAGGAGTGGTAGTAGTACAAGCACTATGAACCAGTACCAGTCAGCCGAAATACCCGCCCGTTTGCAAGCACACTGCTCGACCGACCGAATTACCTGTTCGGAAGGATTTATTCGGGCGTTGCAGCATCTCCTCTGACGGTATCAGGCTCGTCATAGCAAGCTGTGCACAAAACCTTTCCAAGAATCAAAAGGAAACGATTTGACACAAGGGCAGGTAGGAAAGGGCGCAGCAGGCAGGGCAGCCTGATTAGGCAAGCAGCTCATGGCACCTAGCACCAAACTGACCCGAAAGTAGCGAGTAGAGGCGAATTCCATGCCACTGACGATCGCTGCAGTCCTGGATGTTAACTAGGAATTCTACAAGATCACAGCCTCGGGATGCGGGACTGGCGGAGCCCGGGGCGAGGAGGGCACGGGAAGGCCATGAGAGAACTGGAGCTTCTTGCTGAATCCAACCATACTCTTGAGGCCAGCAGACGAAGCAACCGCAGCAGGCGCAGCGTCCGAAGGAAGCGCGCAGATCGAAAGATGGTCGAATTCCTCAAGGCTAGCATGTGGAGCCCAGCCCGACAATTTTCATCATGGAAAGTCATAAATGCAACTCGCGAAACTAACACAACGAAGTGCACCGCCGATGGGCTCTTCGGGGGCTCTTGGACTATGGACCACGGCTTCTTTCAGGAACTTTTTCTAGCGCCGGGGTGCACGCCCATGTCACGCAGGGCTTCCACCAGGATCAGCGTTGCATCCAACGCCACGATCATGACATCCACCCAAAACCACCCGCCTCAGCCGAGGCCGACTCCAAGCAAAGAGCCTCTCAAACCTGGCTCTGCGCCAGTCACATTTTTGCATGCGCACCTTACGGGCGTCTAGCATACAACAAGTAGGCGACATGCCCGGAGAAAGCTTTACACATGTATCTTCACGAGACAAGGCGAGTGCTGGCTTGCAACACCCGAGGGGCGCAAGTAGTGTTTCGCAAGGACGGACGGCCGCATCTCGAGCTTCCCTGCGGATGCCGGGCTGACGAATGGCAGGTGTGGCCAGCTGTGGGAGCAATGAAAGTCACGACGAGTGCGAGCCGTGCGAGCGGATATCTTGTGATTGCCTAAGTGAGTTCCTGGGCTTTTACGACTCGGACAGACCTCGCTTCTCGATGCCAAAGAAGAAGTGAACCGGTATGTCGAAGAACCAGTACCTGTTCAAACGAGTCTAATGGTTCGACTTTCGTGCAAAAATTGATTGCTTTGTGATAAACTTCTGGAGTGCTTCGGGCATCCGAGACACACGAAGGAGACCCGTGCCACGGTGGACATGAGTCGGATGAAGTCTTCATCTTCAAAAAGACCCAGAGGAATAGTAATCCTCATCTCCGCAAGTCAGTTCTCAGGGCCACGGGTGCTTGCGAGCAGCAAAGAACTGTACTGTTGCCGCGATGTGTGCGGAGCAAGACAGAGCACGCAGCAACCTTTCCTTTACGCTCCTAAGTTCAGCATGCAACCAGCTTCCACCGACGAAGTGGCAACACCGCAAGACCGAACTGCCCATGTCCACCCTTTCGCCCAACGAAGCGAACCTCTTGCAAGTGCAGGCAGGGCACAGGTCCCAGACGATCCATATCGCTCCGACAGTAGACCAAATCATTTGCTGCTTGCTGCGTGGGCCCACGACGAAGCGCTGGAAGATGCTATCCTCCTGGAAAGGACCGACACAGCATTGTTTCAGCATGCCTTGCAGCAACGGCACAAGCCCCTGGATTCACGATGTGCTGGGACTGCAGGTGCCTTCTACGCAGAACCCACCTCTTTAGGAGTAGGCAGAATGCAAGCAGGCGGAATTCGGAGAACGGAAGAGTAAACGGCTCAACGAGTGTCCTCTTGCACAGCATCTTGCATCCGCATTGTGCTGTTCTTCGAGCTCAGTGTTGTCCGGTAGCTTCCTGGTACCACATGCGTATGTGTGCCAGATTCCACTGACTCAAACTGACTCGCCTTTTGAAAGTTCGGTGTTATGGGAAACCCCATGAATGTACTCCATTTAGTCCGGATGACGGAATTGCCGCATCTGGTGTACACCGGCTGCCCAGGAAGCTTTCATTTGCAGAGGCGCCGGCGTAAAGCTGGCCCTGAGATTGCACTCGCAATGCTTGAACCGCGGCTGCTAAACACTGCAAGTCTGCAAGTACATCGCTGCTTCGACAGCTTCTGCTGCGAAGTCAATGCCAGGGCCCAGTGGAAGGCGCAGTGAGCCCAGCACAGGTCGCCCGATGTTAGAGACTTTTTGGAAGAGTTAGCGGTTGGCAGCTCTGGCAATGGCAAACCCACGTCTGTGAAACTCTCCTTCACACGACCCACAAGATCACACGAACCTAACCGGTCTCAAGAAAATGATCTCGTCGCTTGGCCGGCGTCAGATTACATTCACGAAAAGAGTTAAACAGATTTGTAGAATCAGATGAGACCAAGTCCATCCTCAAAGTTAGATGCCACGCCCGCAAGGTATTGCTGATGCGGCTCGCAGGAGGAGAAACAGGGGCAGGATCCCACCCAGAGTCCTGTCACAATTGCTGGCTGGCTTCTGTGTAATATTTGCTGCTGCTGAAATTAGATGGCCGTTGAATGCACAGGCGTACACCCTGCACTGAAGTCGATGGAAATGGGGGTGCAAAGGGTGAAAGCCTCTTCTCCGTTTCTTCCATGTGAAGGTCATGAAATTCGAAACATCACCAAGCATTCTCAAGCCCTGGCAGCCTCACCGTCCAGTAAAGAAGCCACGAGAAGGCCCCACCTCTTGCACGAGACGAATAAACCGGATTTTGGGGGCTCAGGCTCCTGCGTGACTGCCTCACCGTGTACACCAAAAGACCCTTCCCTGGGCATTGAAGAAGCATCAAGCTGAGGCTGAGGGCAAGGGCAGTTGCTGCACTCTCGAGATACGTGCACTGCCAGTATTAGTCTGTGAGTAAATGTTGGACCAATGCCAAAACACGTGAGCAGGCTCCTAGCTGGCAATCCAAAGTACAATGTGCCAAGCTTGACCCCTGAAGTCCGCCTGTGTGCCGGCTCGGTCAAGCGATCTTTTTCATCCGATGCTGGATGAAGTTCCTCGGCGTTCGTATAGCGCTGGCTTCAGGCTTTTTGAATTACATGCTTTACTACACTGGCAGGCAGAGAACTAAATGGTGGCAAGCGAGCTATGTCAATGCTGTAGGTACCTTGAAACAAGATGACACAAGCATGCCTTATGGCCTTGACCAGGTTGAGACGGGATGCCACCAATAGCGGAGCTGGCGAATTTGCAAGGTCCTCAAGTGGCTTGTAAAGTCTCAAGGTCTTGCTGCCGCTAAACTGATTGCAAAGAATATGGGTTGCAGGCCTTGTCAGCCACGGTGACCAACGGGTCATCATCGGCAGATATGCCCTGGCGGGCACTGCCGCGACATAGTAACTAACTTTCCATGAAGACAACTCCTTCAAAACCCAAACAGGTGACACACAACCCTCACCAGGGCCCAGCTAGGAGACAAAGTCTGAAAAAAATCTCGCCACTTCCTGAAAAGCAAGGCCTGGTGCAGGAGCCCCAGCTCAGCTCGGAGCTTGAGGTTGTGCTTTCGCAGCCGATCCGTCTCCTGTTCTCGCGCATCCCATGGGCGGGGTGAATTCTTTAGAGTTCATGGGCAGAGTGGAGATGACAGTAATCTGTAGACGACACAAAAAATCGAATCGCAAGGCACCTCACCAGCTAGGCCACTCCACTCATTTTAGCCGAAGCTGCGGCCCGGTGCTGCTGAAGCAGATTCGCACGGAGCTGGTCCAGCTGAGCTGTGAGGAGGGCCTCGCAGGCTTAGATTTAACACAAGCTCCTTGCTTCCTGAGCCCATCACACTCATGTCTAGAGTCTAGAAGAGTCTACAGTCCGGACGATCGCTGTCGAACCTCGTAGTCTTTTTCCTCCGCTGGGACCACACCGCCCTCGCAGCTGCAGAGAGCCATTGCCGCGAATCGGAATGAGCCCCGTCAAGTACACTAGTTGCCGACACCCCGTATTTCCAATTAAGCGAAGCCAGAAAGCTCTGCGGTTGTTATTGCTGCCACATGCGGGCACTGTTTACGTCCGTTTACAATTTAACCAGCAATGACACAACTTCGCAGACATGTTGAAGGCTAGTGGGCCATGCACTTGCCGTTGTTGCAAACCGCTCTTCTGCTATCAGCCACAAGCTGTCCGAGCATGCTAGCTCCAAGCACAGCGAAAAGAGATACAATTGTACTGACAGTCGACATATGATCGCTAATGCGACACCCCGCTGGTTACACACATTGTGCCACGAAAAGGGGGCACTCGGAGACCAGCCGACTGACACCGAAGGTCAGGAGAAGTGCAACGCCAGCTGTGCCTGCGTACGCCATGGGCACAAATCACAAAAACTTGCATGTCTTCCTTGCTTTGATGTATATCACACGCTGACACTCTCGCTCGCTCTCTCTCTCTCTCTCTTTTCTTTCGGCAGGGCTATGAGGCTCTCTCTCTCTCTCTCTCTCGCTCTCTGCCTCTCACGCAGCACTCAAAGACATGCACGATTCTTGCACTGGGCTTGCTGCTGGCGCCAAACCACCGGCTGCCTTCAAGAGGCGACAAGGCACGAAGAGGGGAGGAAGGGGGCGACTCTGGCTCAGAAACTGGATTCCAAAACACTGCAGAGCCTGCCCATCGGTCATGCAGAAGCTTGAATCCGACCATGGCTGGAATGCCTTGGCTCATGGAAGCATGGATGGACTTTGAGATTGGTACGAGAATTGATTTAGGAAGTTTGTGGTCGGTTTTTGTGATTGTTTTGGCTTTCTGTCTCTCGGAGCAGATGCAACGATGGCCAGGTGGACATCACGTTATTCCCGCTTTTGCCAACTCCTCGCATCCTGCTATTTACGGCACCTGGTGCAAATCCGGTCTCCGCGTCCGAGTATTTGCACAGGATGCTCGCTACGCGTGTCGCCCGCTGTGGTGCGGTGCATACGTTCCGTCGTTTAGAGAGGGTTTCATGTGCTGGATGCGTGACTCATTGCAAATATGCAAAATATGGACCACCCTCGTTTGTGGAAAACCTTGAATCGCGGCAGTACTTGGGGAAACGATTTAGTGTCTTCCTTCGGCTAAGGCGCACACGGCGAAACGCCGTCCAAGGGGCACACAGGGATGTTTTGGTACGCAAAAACCAACCTATCTGCACTTCACAGCAACAAACCGCTGGGTCTGGGTTAGGGTTACATACACAAGAACCAACGTGTCCGCACTTCACGGCACGAAACCGAAGGGGCTAGGGCCAGGGTTTCATTTAATGCGCAGCAACTCCATAGACTCTAGACGATATTAGGATATCTCAAACTCGCCCCCTCAGCCCTCATTGGGCGATCCCGAATCATCACGTATCTGGGACGCGCCCCCTTTTTTGCCGATCCAGGTTGATCACAGATCTTGGATTCCCCCCCTCCTTTCGCGATGCCGATTCGTCACTTTTCTTAAACACGCCCCCGCATTCGGCAATCCGGGTTGATAACATTTCTTAAAACCGCCCGTCGTTTGGCGACCCCGATTCATGACATATCCAAAACATGTCCTCTCATGAGGCGACCCCGGTTCATCACAACTGCCACCACTCTTCAACCCGCTCCCTCATTTGGCGATCCAGGTTGATAACATGTCCCAGTCATCACGCCCCATTAGGCGATCCCTGTTTATGACGTTTCCTAAACCCGCCCCCTCGTTTGGCGATCCAAGAAGCCGAAAAGCCAAAAAACAGAAAAGCGGATAAGCAGAAAAGCAAAAGCAAAAGCAAAAAAAGCAGAAAACGACAAGAAAACACAGGCAGAAGGCAGACAGAACAGCGGCAAAGCAGAAAGGCAGAAGAACGGAAAAGTAAAGCAGACAAGCTGAAAAAACTAAAGCACACACACAGGAAAAATACAAGCACAAAAAGCAGAAGGCAAAACAGACCGACAAAATCGAAGCATAGAAAACCAAACAACAGGTCTAAACATCCCGAAGTAAAACAAAATGACTAAAGAAAATTACGCTCCTTCGATGTTTGCCTTCTGCCTTGCGGCTAGCTGCATGGACATGGTCGCAGTTTGCGAAATTCAACTGACCTTCTCGATTTGTCGGGGAGGACCTATATCCTACAAGCATCCTGCACAACTGCTCGCAGCACTCTCCGAGAGCACGACCAACTAAGCAAGAAGACCAGAGGGTTGCCTCCTTCGCCTGCCTGCAGAGCCGTGCTGGCAGCGTCGATGGCTCACGCGGGACTTGCACGAGTGCGAATATGCCGTCGCTCGCTGCCTCCGCACACGCTGGCTCACAGCACTGGTGACGGTGCACACCTGCGGGTGTAGAAGTTCGCAGCTTGAGTTGAAGCAGAAAACGAGGCTTTGGTTCTGTGACGTTTGCTTGAAAGTGTCCATCGGAGAGGCCTTGCACGGTACAATGGCACTGGGTTGAGATAGGCCGCTGCCTTCTTCCACTGAAAGTCCAAGCCAGCAGTTGGAAGCACGTCGGTTGAGAATGTGGCTACTGAGACCGATTCTGTCTGAGAGGCAAAATGTCTCTAGTTGACGCTCGAGCCGAACCAAAACAAGAAGCTGTGGGAACAACACTGCCCTGTTCAGAGCGTGTCCCGGTGCAGTGCTGGCCCCACCATCTCCAGCTGTCGCAGCGTGTCCTGCAAACAATCTCGCCTCTGCTTTGAGGAAGCACGAGACTGCCTTCAGCTGGCCCGAGCTGGTCGTCAGTGTCAACAAACGAAGTGAAGCGATCTGCCGCCGCAACCATGAGTCCAACAACACTGCCCTGCCCAGCGTCCTAGTTACTACGTACTCTCTGCCGCGGTCAGAGCACCGTGGGTCCAAGTAGCATGGCAGCTGCAAAACTTAGACAGGGTCCTCCGTCGCAGTGATGACCTGGTCATCGTACTGGTCATATACGTTATCAGACGCTCCACACGAATGTGCAAACAATTGCAACGGCTGCAAAACATGCGCACTTGCACACCAAATCGCACCGACAGCCAAACCCGACATGTCTTCAACAGGTGCCGAGCTGCATTATCCCAGTGGCGAGTCCGCGCCCGGAGGACCTCCTGGACGACCTCCTCGCGTTTTTGCCGGAAGGCCTCGGGCAAGAACTGGACAGGATGGAAGCACGCACCTGAGACGACACACACGGAACTAGCAACGAGGCGCCCGTTGGGCGAGGTGCAGTGTAGATGACGTCTGCGCTTCACGATCTACGAGGATGACTTGGAGCTTGAAACGAGGTGCATGCACATCTTCGGTACACAGGCCGAGCCTCCAGTGGGAGTTTGTGTTCACGGACACCGTTCCTGAGCGGAGATCGAAGCTTTTTGTTGCCGAGACGATTGGCTTCTCTTCGTTGGTTTCAAGATGCTTCAAGATCATGCGGGCTCTCAGGTCCGGACTCCGCGTGCTCCACGCCGGCATTGTACATCGTGTAGATCTGAGGAATGTCCTCTTGGAGACTGAAAGCACCAAGCATCCTGAAAAAAACATAGACACCTGGCTTCATCTCCCTGTCACCCTCGCGGAGGCCTTGCGTGGAATCACCTGCATCATGAAGGCAGCATCTAAACATGTCTAAGGCATTCACAGAGTCACCTCGTGGGCCAATCCGGCGATGAAGTGAAGGATTCGAAAGGTCTCAAACCCAGAGCCCAGAGCACCTTGGACAGCGCCCAGCCGAGCGTTCCGTAGGCGCGCGCAAAGTCCACACTGCTGTCAAGCTGGTCCACCTGCTGCGAACCCCGCCGCTGCTGCTGGATCAGACAGACTCCGCCTCCCTGCCACAGCTCTCCTAAAGCTGCTCCTGGCCTTGTTGAGGATGATGACAAACTTGTGGTCCAGCCCAGCCTGAGAAAACGTAGTACCGTGAGTGTCGTGTAGGCGATTGAATGCCAGGACAAGTCGTGGCCTTCAAAGAAAATTGGTACAGTACAGACACGAGCAGCGCTTTGGACCCGGCCATGGATCGCGTCAGCACATCCAACGACTCACCCGTTGTACCGGGCCTTGGAAAGGCCGTGCGAGTGTGCAGGCAAATCCGTGACCAGATTCAGCCATGTTCTCAAAAAACCACACTCGACCCTCGATGCAGAGGCTGACAAGTTTCAAAGACCCATCACAGCGAATGCCTGCAGCGCACATCTGATACGAGTCTTGCGTCGAGGCCTGTCCGGATCGAAGAGCAGCAGGATCAGATCTGCACCTTTAGATTGGAGAGATGCCAGACTGGTCTGGCTTCACCGGCTGCAGAAGCGCCCAGACTCAGCTTTTTGGCAATGGGGACGATTAAGCTAGGGCTCAAGTTGAAACTGCTGAGCCCCCGGCGTTTCGCAAACCAGCGGACGACTTCCAAGAAGTTGTAGCCTGTCTGCAGCCAAAGAACTCCGGCAAGGCCGCAAGGCCAGAATCTCTAGCGGCTGGAACTGCCGTGCATCGGAGTAGGGCAGCATCGAACATGCGCGGTCAGCAAAGCGTACACAAGGAAAGTGTGGTTCCGAAGTGCGCTTGTCCAACCCCGTTGGTGCAGGCAGCAAGAGACGAGCCACGTTGAGAACCCAGAAGCATCCTGAAACCGAAGCGGCCACTCGTCGTGTGCCTCGACCACCGGCCATGCTCTCGGACTTCACAGGCATGTCGATCCTCGGAGGCTCGGACTGCACAGCAAAGATGTGCCCCTGCAGTCTCTTGAGCTCGAAGCATACCTGGCGTGTCCACGATCTGCAGCCCATACGGCATGATGCTTTCCTTGGCTGACAAGCCCCCTCTGCCTCTGCACGGTTGAGGGTTGCAAGGTTTCGGGATGGGGCTTGAGAAAGCTGCACAGACGTCGAGTGAGGCTCAAGAAGTGTCGATACACCCCGAGCCCCATGCCCTAGCAACCCTAGCACAGCCACACAGACTCGGATTGCCTGCGGCAGCATCAGCTTCCTCCGGCGGAAGTGGCCCCAGAAGGGCTGGCCGAAGCGTTGAAGCTCCTGGCTTCGTGGCGTCGCGCTTCTCCCAGAGTTGTTAAAGAGCAGCTGTCTGCACAGGGTTTTTCGGAGTCAGAACTTAATATTTCTTAATGATGTCATGCATTGCTTATGCGAATGATCTTTTCCTTTCTTTGGTTGTTGCCTGAATCTGATGACTCGGACATCTTCGCAGTCGAGTCCGTGGAAGTCCTTGAACGGCCGGTTCTCTGGGCAGCTGAGCAGCGTGGGGCCATCTTCCACCTTCCACTACAAGACGAACATACCGCCTCACCTTCGACAGCCACCTGTGCGAAGCAAACGTATGATGGCCTCGTTGCCTGTTGGGTGCCGCTGCAGGACCTGGGTGTGGCGCTGGCTCGGCTCGGCTCTGCTTACACCCTCGCCTAAATCCTGTTTTTTTTTTTAGGAGGTGGAGCCTCGCATCCTGCATTACTTGAGGCTGATTCATGTAAGATGGAGGGGTGTTGGAGGGGGTGCTACTTCACCAGCAGGTGCACAGCATGCTCTCAGCCAGTGGTAGTCTTCTGCTGTGTATCATGACACGGAAGCAGCGCATGGCAGTGCTAAGAGAGAGCAATATGGCAAACTCGCTAAACAGCGCTGTGTCGTTTGTTCCATTAACTCGCGTTTCGCTGCGGAGTCTGCAATACTGGCCCTGTTCTAACGATGTCGTATGCCAGTTCTTAACTAGAAGGGTTTGGCTTTGAATTTGGAATTTTGGTTTCGGGATTGGGCGTTTCGGCGTGGGGTCGGGATTTGAGGTGTAAGGTTTTGACTTTCGCTCTGGGCTCGGTCGGGACTTAGCCCAAGGCCTGGGGATGAAAGTTCGGGTCTTCAAATCCAAGGATTTGGAGACCAAGAAACGCAGTTATCACTTAACACACAGACACACAAATCAGATAACTGGCAGAATCTAACATGCACTGTTGTTAGATTCGGGCCATCGTTACAGGCCAAGGGAGCAAAAGAACGATTTGATAGAACAAAAAGACACAGCTACTTAGCAAGCTTGCCATATTGCTGTCTCTTGTGTCTGTCTCTGTGCGTCTGTCGCTGTGTGTCTGTCTTTGTGTGTCTGTCTCTGTGCGTCGGTCTTTGTGTGTCTTTGTGTCTCTGTCTCTGTGTCCCTGTGTCTCTGTGCCTCTGTCTCTTGCTTGCTTGCTTGCTGGGCGTTTGGGGGCATGGGGGAGACCCCAGCACCCCTGCGCGCAAGCGCTACGCCAGTGTCCTGTGTCGCTCTCTTTCTCTCTCTCTCTCTCTCTCTGCATCTGTTTCTGTCTTTCTTTTTGCTTGGCTTTGCTTGGTGTCAATGTCAGCAACTCGCGCCGAAGCGAATCGCGTTCCATGGTGGACAGAGGGGGCTCAGCTGTACCGCAGACTGCCTGGCCAGTCGAAGCGAGTTACAGCGAGGCATCCGACTGTGTCACCACCAAACAAAAGACCACTTAGCGGAACACATGAATCACGAACCTTTGGGTGCCCCTCATCCAAACATGAAGGTACGACATGTTTTGCATTACAGAAAAAACAACAGGGAAAAACATGCCTGAATCACCAGCCCTGCAGTCCTTATGCCCGCTATGGGCACACCACTCTGAAGGTACGAGGAATTGAAAGAGTGCCCTCATGAAGGTAGGAATTCAACATTGAGGTGAGATGCAGAAGTGCTGAAGCTGCGGCATCACTCGGTCGCCTGTTTGGGTGATTCGAGGATATGGGTTCCCCATGTGCTTGCATGGGGCCCCGCAAGAAAGTCTCCTCTCACTTTTCTCACTTTCTTTTTGCCTCCTTGCTGCTCCTCCCCCCTGTTGTCCATGATAGCTGCAATCCTCTTCGTGGTGGCTACGAGGTCTTCCGCCTTCTTCTTTTCCCCCGCGTCCGGCGCTTCTTAAACTCTTAGCACCTTTGCGGCTAAACTCCCCCGAGGGAAGCTTCAGGTCTATGGCAGCCGGACCAACATGGTCCCCGCTTTTCACTGACCTTCTATGGTCCGGTCTGTCTCTGTCCCTGTCGACTTCCACTCAGCCAAAGAGGAGGCAATCCCTCCCCGCTGTCTCTGTGTCTCTGTCTCTGTCTCTCTGTCTCCTCTGTCTCTCTATCTCTCTGTCTGTCTCTCTGTCTGTCTCTCCGTCTCTCTGCGTGTCTCTCTGTCCTGCCTGTCTGTGTCTCTGCTTGTCTCTGTCTGTCTCTGTCTGACTCTGTCTGTCTCTCTCTCTCTCTCTCTACCTTGCAAGGAGAGGCAGCGGAAGCTACCCCCCCGCACGCGTGCGCGCACCTGCGTGTCCTGGCGGGGTTTTAAGCTTCCTACGGGAGTTTTTCCCCCTGTAGGCTCGGCTTTACATGGGTCATCCATCAGCTCCCCTGGGCAACCCGGAGCAAGTAGATGACTTGAACAAGAGAACATTTTCGGGACGCTGATGATTGCCCCCCCCCCGATTGGCCTCTGGAAAGCACTATGGCACTATGTTAGAGAACAACTCTGAGGCTCCGGCAACAGCTCGACAGGAAGCTGGCAAGTTAGTCAGGTCCCTAGGGTCATGTGGTACTATCCAGTTTTGGGGCTTGTGGGAAGCAACACACGATCACAATGCACACTTCTGGAACACAGCTTGAGTATCACAGGACGCCACGTCTCTTACTTGCCTTGCTCTTTGTCGTTTTTTTGCCGTTGTGAGGCTCGGGTGGTGACCCCCTGGTAGGTACTCTACTTGCTCTTTGTCCCCCCAGGAGGATTTGGTCTCTGTCTGTCTCTGTCTGTCTCTGTCTGTCTCTGTCTGTCTCTGTCTGTGTCTGTCTGTCTGTGCCTGTCTGTGTCTGCCTGTCTCTGTCTGTCTGTCTGTCTCTGTCTGTCTCTTCTGTCTCTGTCTGTCTCTTCTGTCTCTGTCTGTCTCTGCCTGTCTGTCTCTGTGTGTGTGTGTCAGCTGCATACCACCTTTTGATTTGCGAACCTCGCATGCTTGAGCAATCTTGTTCCTCGCCCTTGAACGAGATGAACGCCCTGTGATTTGATGATCGAGGAATGCCCAAAGTAAAAGCGATAGGGCTACTAAGCTCTGACCAAATGCAGAGCCTGCCTTGCTTCAAACAATGTGTCGGCAATGCCGAGTGCACTCACAGCCTCACACCGGAAGCGGCACGTCAACAGCTCTGCAGATGTCCTTTGAGCAGCAACTACAGGACAGAAACAAAAAATGAAGACCTGCTCCGACTGGCCCTGGCCTAGAATTGTGTCTGCACCTGACATAAGACACGGATTTCACGGCTTGAGAGCATCTGCTGCTGAGCCAGGTTGCGTGCGACATTAACTTGCTCTGAAAAGCGCGAGAACCTATTCCGACTACCCTCATCGAGGATCATCGAGGTACGTTGGTTCTTTAGGTGAGTAAATGCGTTGGGTGGGATTCTTCACACGGGCTTTTCAGGTTCGAACGTGTGGGTTCGCTCGGCGGTTCTCAGAGCTTGGCTGCAGCACTTTGTGGCTGCGAACTGCAACAACATCTACATGGTCACGCTGTTGCTGCTAATTACATTCAGGACGGGACATCCTGCAGAAGAAGTAGCTTCGGCAAGCTGGTCTCCCTACACTTGCTGCAAAGGCGAAATACATCAGTCTCCATTCAGAGAGCACTCAAGGCGGAAGCTACGTCTCGGTAACGATCTTCACTCATGGCACTCGCATGGTGGCGATACTTCTCTGTACAGGGTAGCAACGCTTGTTGGGAAGCTGTTCGTTGCACAGCTTAGCCAAGAGCAATACGAAAGATACCATCGCAAAAACCGGAAGACTGCAATGACGTTGCTCTGAAATCATGGACTCTACAACCAGCGAATCAGCAATACGGATATGGCACTCAGACGACAAAGAAAAGCTGCCATCAATGATGTACAGGACTCCCCTTGGCTGCTCTACGTTCTACGTCCCTTGAGCCTCAGGGCGGTCACCGCTTCACGGAGCCCATCAATGCCTTGCCGGGCTGCAACATTGGCTGCTGTTGTTGGGGGCTCATTGCAGAGCTGGCACCTCTTCCAGGAGCTGCTTGGCGACTTCTGCCTACGATGGATTGAACACGCCACCGAACCAACCACGCTCGGAAATGTGCGGATCCAACGCTGGTTTCCCAAACAGCGTGAGCAAACGGATGTCCAAGCAGTCGCACAAGCCTTCTTGGTGTCTGAAGCCTCGCGCTGCCCCGCATCACGAAAGATGCGTGCCAGGCGGAGCAATGCCTCAACGAGCTGAGGGCTCGGACTCACCTCACGCCTTGATCGTACTGCAGGTCGTTATCCTTGTCTTTCAAATCCGCCACCCAACATTCTCCGAAGCCCCAATTTGCTCGAAACCTCCGAAGCCGCTTTTCGCCTGCGCCCGCCGCACCCGCAGCTGCCACGGGACACTGACATCCTTGACCACCTAGACGCAGACCGCGTTGTTTCAACGAAGACTTAACGAGTCGAGACAGCAGGCTTGAGATTCTCCGCGGGCCTTGCCAGAGACATTCTTCAGGGTAGAGGTAATGTCCAGAAGACAAACGTCCCAAAGCGTCTGCAGGAAGATGGGCAGCTGGCCTGCACGAACGATTGGGCCTTAATGATGAGGCAACCGGGCAACTTCGTGGAGCATGGAGTCTCCTAGGTGCAATCCCGACGATGGCTGGCTTACCTAGGCCTCTACACCAACCAGATCATCGGCAGCCAGACCCTCAACAACAAAATTCTATTGGAAATGTGTACGTCATGCCGTCTGCAGGCCTTCCAACGATTCGGCGGTTTTGCTGTCTATGACCTTCGCTGCTGCATGGTGCTTTGGTCTCATGCTCGCTTGTAATGGCTATTGAAGAAGTACAAAACTGCGCAAGCCTACGATGAACATCTCCCTCTGCAAAACATGTTTGTGTAAAATGTGTAAATCTTCGCGTGACACCAGTGCAGCAGCGCAGCATTGACTCCCTCCGGAATGTAGCTTGCATTCAGGTTCTTCTCGCCTTAGTCTGATGCCGCTACTCAGCTGCTGCCACATACTACTAGCTGCTAGCATGCTGAAGCAGACGCAAGGGCTGCCTTCCTGCGATGAGCACCCAACTCATTCTTCGGTGGACACTAGCAGCCACGGTGTTTGCAGCATATGCAGCCTGCGGGGAGCGTACTGACAACTCTGCTCGACCCAGTGAGCTTCAATCCTGATCTTGAACGCAAGCCAAGGCCTTCGCCAGACTGAGGCCTGCTGAGGTCTTCAGCTGGGCGTCCTCAGGACAGGGGACCAGAGGGTCACAAGTGCATAGCCTACGGCCCCTGAGGGTGCTCATCTCGGTGTTGATAGCTTCTTGTCGGCACAGAACGGT